AGGCCGCACTCGCGACACGCGCAACCGATCTTCCTGAACCTTCTGAATTCTTCCCCAAGCCGCACCCCTATATAAAGCTTCGTCCACTTTCCTACGGCATTCACACCACAAGAATCCACAAACAAAGCAGCGAGGGAGAAAGCACATCAACCCAGTCAGGCAGCCACCCAGGGAGGAAGAGGTGTTAGCAGGGAACTGGATCAGATAGAATTGGGGAAGGGGAATGGAAGGAGCAGGGAAAGGATAGCAAGAAGAGCACGGGATTTAGTTCGGATGAGTTCTTAGATGATAACAGGTTTAGTTGGGTTTACAAAATCGATACCCTCTCCCTCATGTAACTCTGCCTTAAGTAGTTACAGAGGCCGTGGCCTCGCCAGCGCACCCGTGCTCACCCACGCACCCAATGCTTAGTGTCGAGGCGAGAATTTGGCTTCCTTGTCCTGCTTTCACGTCTGGGGCCACTGTCAAGTCCTCCGGCTCCTTCTTCTATTGCTGTTGTCGGGTGATGTACAGTGCTAACATCCCCCCTTCTTGGAATATTGCTTGACCCCAAATAGTGGCTCGCGGAAACTCCTGGCGAACAGCTTCATAATCCTCCCAGGTAGTAAGGCTCGATGGCAGATTGTTCCATTTGACATACACCTGCTGGACGCGGTCTGAGCCACACGAAGCACCACACGCATGTCCAGAACTTGCTCAGGAGCCAACTTGATAGCAAAATCAGAGGGCAAAACTGGAGTTACCTCATGGCCAGAACCCACTGCCCGTTTTAATTGCGAAACATGGAATACCGGGTGTATAGAGGAATGAGCTGGCAGTTGGAGCTTGTATGCCACCGTACCCACACGTTCAATGATAGGAAACGGGCCAAAGAACCGGAAGGCTAATTTCTGGTGAGCACGAGGTGCCAAGGACATCTACACATAGGGCTGCAATTTGAGGTACACCATATCACCCACATTGAAAGAACGCTCAGAACGAGATTGGTCGGCTCATTTCTTCATACGTGTCTTAGCACGGTTGAGATGATGCTGAAGAAGTTGATCCATCCACTGTCTATTGGACACCCAGGAAACTACCTCAGACTCAGAATCTCCCGATGGCTGAAAGTTTAGAAGCCTGGGAGCATAGTCGTATAGTGCTTCAAATGGGGTTCTGCCAATGGCTGAGTGCAGTGATGAGTTATACCAAAATTCAGCATTAGACAGTCAACTGCTCCACTTGTGCAGGCAAGCATGGACAAAGTACCGCAAATAGGTCTCCAAACATTGATTGATCCGCTTCGTTTGTCCATCTGACTGAGGGTGATATGCTGTGCTACGGGCAAGCTTAACATCGACGAGGCGAAAAAGCTCAGTCCAGAACTTACTGGTGAAGATACGGTCACGGTCAGATACTATAGAGTTGGGGAGTCCATGAAGGCAATAGACTTGATCAAGAAATGACTGGGCCACAGTAGCAGTAGTGAAAGGATGACGGAGTGGAATAAAATGAGCATATTTTGTCAGCAGATCCAGAATGTAGTTATACGAGGCAGATAATGGCAATCCTTCGATAAAGTCTAATGACACCACTTGCCAGGCTATAGACGGCACAGGGAGTGGTTGAAGGAAGCCTGGGGACATGGCACGGTCGGGCTTTGACTGCTGGCAGACCACACAAGCGCGAACAAACTCATGAACAGAAGCTTTCATACCTTTACAGGCGAAACATTGTTTAAGCCGCATGTGTGTAACAGGAATGCCAGAGTGACCGCCCCAAGCGCTGTCATGAAATACGGATAACAGCTTGTTCTGCACTAAGGAAGAATTGCCAATCCAAGTGCGGTTCTTGTAATGCAAAACCCTGTCTTGCAGAGTATAATTTGGTACCACAGCCAGATCCAAAGATAGCTTGGTCAAGAGGTCCTGAACAAAGGGGTCACCCTCATAACTGGAAGTCACCAACGTGAGCCATGATGGAATCAAAGTGGTGATAGCGGCACAATTGTCAGAGACTCAGAGGACTAGAGGTAGCGAGACAATGCATCGGCCGCGCGGTTTTCAGCACCTTTGCGGTAAACTATCCGGTACTAGAGGCCCAGCAACTTAGTGAACACCTTGTGCTGCCATTGTGTATGAAGACGCTGCTCAGACAGTTGAGTTAGGCTACACTGATCACTTGATCAGTAAGGATGATAAACTCCTGAAACTGAAGATATGTGCGCCAAGCCTGGACTGCCACCAAGATTGCCATATATTCTTTTATATAGGTTGACAGCCCACGAGATTTGGGGCCCAAAGCCTTACTGAGGTAAGCGATGGGGTGACCTTCTTGCATAAGAACCGCTCCAATGCCCAAATCCGATGCATCTGTTTCAATGCAGAATCGTTTTTGGAAATTGGGCAATGTGAGAACAGGTGCTTGACAGAGCGCCATCTACAGAGTTTGAAAAGTAGCTTCATGTTCGGGAGTCCAGATGAAGACAGAGTGCTTCTTGAGCAGAGTTGTTAGTGGCTTAGCGATGATGCCGAAATGTCGGACAAACTTCCGGTAATAATCGGCCAACCCCAGAAAACCACGGAGCTCTTTAGTAGATGTAGGAACTAGCCATTGTTGTATAGCAGTAAGTTTGGAGGGATCAGTACCAACACCTGCCTCACTGATAACATGACCAAGATAAGCAATCTCCCGTTGTGCAAAGGAACACTTAGATAGCGTTAGCTTCCATTGATCTTTGGCCAACAATTCCAAGACCAGCCGAACGTGCTGTAGATGAGCTTCAAAAGTTGGACTGTAGATCAAAATGTCATCGAAAAAGACTAACACAAACTGACGAAGATAAGGAGCTAGTGTTGTGTTCATGGCCTCTTGGAATGTTCCTGGTGCACCTGTGAGTCCAAATGACATAGCACAGAACTCAAATTGTCCAAAATGAGTCTGGAATGATGTTTTAAATTCTTCACCTAACTTCATTCTTATCTGATGGAACCTAGCTCCAAGATCAAGATTGGTAAACCAAGATGCCCCAGCCAATTCATCTAGCAATTCATCAATAATAGGGACAGGAAACTTGACCTTCACTGTGATAGCATTGAGATGACGATAGTCAACACAGAAACTCCATGTATTGTCCTTTTTCTTGACCAAGATGACTGGTGAAGAGAATGGGCTGGTACTCCTTTGGATGAGCCCCTGTTGTAACATTTCCTGGACTTGTTTCTCTATCTCAGTCTTCAGGATAGGAGCATAATGATATGGCCGGATAAACACTAGTGAAGCCCCCTCAATCAATGGAATTGCATGATCACAAGCACGTTAAGGTGGTAATGCAGTGGGTGGTTGAAACAGATGATCAAATTCCTGAAGTAAGCGAAGTAGTTCAGGTGGGAGATCAGGCAACTCAGCAAGATTTACCTCGGGCTTGACTTCAGACTACTGCAAAATTGTGCCCACTGGAAGATCAACATCCATACCACTGAGAATCATCGATTGGTCCTCATAAGGAATGGATATCCAGCGCTGCTGCCAGTGTATATGCATAGGACTGAAAGACTGTAGCCAATCGAGCCCAAGTATCATATCATGAGAAGGCAGTGGAAGAATTTTCAGATCAGTAACAAAATTGTACCCCTACACAGACCATTGAGCTTGAGGAATGTAAGTGGAACAAGAAAGCACTGCACCATTGGCAACCTGCACCTGAATTGGTTGTAGTAGAGGGCAGACGCCTTGTAACATTGGGCTAAGCTTGGCACTAAGAAAGGTATGGGAACTACCACTGTCCACCAAAATAGAAATAGGATGGCCTTGCAAAGCTCCCAACAGACACATAGTCTTCGGACTTGGACCCCCAGTCACAGCAGCAGTAGAGAGATGAAGCATCAACTGATGGTCAGGTGCAGACTGTACTGACTGTGCATCAACATTATCATCAGATGATTGAAACAGATCATAGATCTCCTACACCACATTCAGATGGATCATAGGTGCACACTTATGGCCACGGAACCATTTTGCACCACACTTGAAGCATAAACCCTGAGCACGACGATGCTCCCGAAGAGCTTGATACTTGTCTTCGGCAGTTGTCATCTTCAGAGGCTCAGCAGGCCTATTATCAACGCCACCAGCAGGCTTCACAGGTGGTAGTGGTAAAGGATGTGCACCAGCCGTCTGATACTTACCATCCACCCGGCAAAATGGCCTCCGAGGTGCTGAGACCTCCTCCTGCAAACGTGCAAGGACACAAGCAGTATCGAGCGATGTAGGGCATTGCAACAGAACAACAACTTTAATATCGTCCCTAAGACCCTCAATGAAACGTTGAACATAGTAAATGGGATCGGGGTGTTTGGCATAGGCATTGAGCTGGTCAATCAGAGTGGTGATCTGGGTTATGTACTCATTGACTGTGGCAGTCATCCGAATCTGAAAGAGCTTCCTAACCAAAATCTCATGTTCATCCCGCCCAAATCTCTCTAAGAGGAGTGTACGGAAGGAAGGCCAGGTCATGGATGGGAGTTGATCCTCAACAGACTGCTTCCAACGGGCAACATCCGAAGATGGAATGAAATGCATGGTGGCAACCTTAATCCAAATAGGAGACTCAACTGAGTAGAGATCAAAGTAATCTTTGCAGTTTTTCAACCACGATTTGGGGTACTCTAGATCAAATGTAGGGAAATCGAGTTTAGGAATTTTGCATGTATGACTCCCACTGCTACCACTGCTAGTACCCCCATGCGATCTTAACTCCCATGGACGATTAGGTGCTGGTGGCGGACGCAAATTCGGAGGAACAGAGGCCGCGGCTCTGCCTTAAGTAAGTTACAGAGGCCGCGGCCTCGCCAGCGCACCCGCGCTCACCCACGCACCCAATGCTCAGCGTTGAGGCGAGAGTTTGGCTTCCTTGTCCTGCTTCCGCGTCTGGGGCCACTGTCAGGTCCTTCGGCTCCTTCTTCTATTGCTGTTGTCGGGTGATGTACAGGGCTAACAATAGGCCAAGAGGGGGGAGTGCCATGGCTTGCACTGTCGCTTCCAGGAGGGCCGTCCTGCTAGTGCGCGCGCTGGAGAAGCTCCTTGCCGCGTCGTCCGCGCCCGGGGCTGGCTCCGCCGTCAGGCCAGTGGCAGTCACCGGCGGCCTCCGCAGGTACAACACCGGCGCTCAGCTCCGACGTTACGAGGGGGCCGAGTCCAAAGACGACAGCGTCCGCGAGTACGAGAGCCGGTGCGGCAGCCGGGACTACGCCGTGCCCAGCCTGTTCTCAGGTAGTCGTCATCTTCGTGCCATGCCAGACTCATTTGCTTCGTGCTCTCAAATGAGATGATGGAACTCCATCGATTTGAAATGGCTGTGCTGACTTCATTTTGTTGGTCCCTGTCCAGATATCTTCCGTGATCCATTCAGTTCGCCGCAGAGCCTCGGCCGCCTGCTGAGCCTGATGGACAACTTCGCGGTGGCGGCGCCAGACCGTGCCGGCGCGGTGCGCCGTGGCTGGAACGCGAAGGAGGACGAGGAGGCGTTGCACCTGAGGGTGGACATGCCGGGCCTGGGGAAGGAGCACGTCAAGGTGTGGGCGGAGCAGAACAGCCTGGTGATCAAGGGCGAGGGCGAGAAGGAGGCCGGCGAGGACGAGGACGTCCCGCCTCCGAGGTACAGTGGTCTCATCGAGCTCGCGCCAGAGGTTTACAGGATGGACAACATCAAGGCGGAGATGAAGAATGGTGTGCTCAAGGTGGTCGTGCCCAAGGTGAAGGAGGAGGAGCGCAAGGACGTGTTCCAAGTCAACGTCGAGTAGATTAGATATTTCCAAATAAAATATAAAAGTCAAGCGCCAGTATGAGGGGCAGAGCCGCAGAGGGGTGTACCAAACTAGAATTTCTCTCTTTTTTTTTATCTTCGGATGAGTCAGATTTCTCTTCCATCATCTTGTGAAATAAACGTACTCGGGCACGATTTTGATTTGCTTTCCATGTCAATCTGGTGGACTCTCTCTATACTTCCCTATCTCGTCTAAATTCTAATCCGACACGTTCTCCCTTTTTTATATACGAGTATATATCATCTTAATACATACAAGGTAAGATAGATACGGGAGCAACACGACACGAAACGAATTCCCTGTTCCGGCGTCGTCCGCTAGCAGAGCTCTCGAGCTCTCCTGTTCCGGCGTCCTCCGCTAGCAGAGCAGAGCTGCAGAAGAATAGAGGAAGTAGCCATGACGCAGCCGCCAGAGTAAGTAGCCATGACGCAGCCGCGGGAGACGTTCCCACCGCAGGGGATCACAGACGATCTCTTCGACTTCTTGCAAGAGATCCATGTCCATTTGGCGTATGATCCTGGCAACAGAAATGCGTTATTCGACCTCTTCACGGACTTCGGCAAGCCCGAGATCACCGACGACGAGCGCGTCTCGGCCCGAGCGGTGCATCTCCTCCGGGGCCATCCTCATCTCGTTGCCCGGTTCCATGGCTTGGTCGACCCTGTGCGTCAAGGTTTGGATCTCGTAAAACGGGCGGAGAAGGCGTTGAGACCGGCGGACTACGATCGATTTGTCGCAACGCTATACAGCGTCAACTTGGAACGAAGCCTCGACGCTCATGAAGTTTACCAAGAGTTCAAGGACATCTTCGGCGAGAAGCACGACGACCTGCTCCGGGGTTTAGCCGCCTTCCTGCCAGCGAAATACGGCCCGCCGCCGCCATCTCGCGCTAGCGCAAAGGCGGAGCCGGAAGAGAACCGCCGGAGGCCGGAACGCAAGCACTCCTCTTACGCTGGCGCAGATGCACCCGAGAGCAGCCGGCCGAGCAGGGCCAAGAAACCCCGCGTCGTCGACGTCGGCCCGACGCCCGAGCCCATCTGTTTCGCTGACACGGGCACAGCCGGGAGTAGCATGCCGAGCAGGGCGAGGAGATCTCGCATGTACGAGCACGAGCACGAGTACGAGTACGACGGCTCGTTGCCGGAACGCAAACCCGCCTCGTGCGCCGTTTCAGTCGCGGACGACAACAAGAGCAGCAGGCCGAGCAGGGCCAAGAAACCTCGCGCGGACGACAGCATGAACCGGCACGCTCTTATAGGCGGCGCGGCGGGAGGCTCTGTCCATGTGGGCGCGGCGCCGGCACCGGCGCCTGACGCCATCGTCAGAGAGGTGAAGAGGTTGAGGGAGGCCTGGGAGTTCGAGACCGGCTACTCGTTGCTGGATGCTACGTTGAAGCGCGCGGTGGAGGTGAAGGATGAACGCGAACGCCTGAACGGTGCCCGGGTTTCCCTGGATGAGCTCTTCCCGAGTCCCGAGATCCGAGGATACCTCGCCAAGATGTATCACGGCAAATGGAATCATATGCGACAGTTGCTGGAGCACGGCGGCGATCACACTGCCTTCGCTTTGGAGGCCATCGTGAAAAGACTGACGACGAAAGATGCCGAGGCCGTCGATGAAGCAAGAAGGAGGCAGGATCCCACACGAGCTGCCCAGAGACTGCAGGAGCTCGCCCAGGACAGAGTGCGTTTGGAGCGCGAGAGGGTGCGTGAGACCAACGAGGCGAACGAGCAGCGGCGACAGCCGTGAGTCGCGTCCGTCGCCAGCCCGGAAAACTTCAGCAAATTCATGGAGCACATGATCGGCACTTGCATGTTGCACCGTAGAGACCGACTTGAAGAATCGTGATCGGCACTTGCATGTTGCATAGAGACTGACTTGAAGAATCGCTGTGGTCATGATCTGGTTACCGTGGGATTGATCGAGGACGATATCAACTAAGCATCGTCTCACTCCGCCATTGGCAGCAAACTGATGTCGTGCTGACCGCTGACCAGCTTGGCTTTGTGACAAGATCAATTCAATCAAGGGCTTTATAAGAAGATCACAGCCTGGCTTTGTAACAATATCAATTCAATCAAGGGCTTTATAAGAAGATCACACTTGTTTCAACTTTTAGCTAGTTTCAATATCTGCTTTCTCGCTGTAACACGTTTGTCTGAAATATCTGTTTTCCATTTAAAATGGCATGTAACAACGAAAATTGTGAACCTTGGTGGCTGGATCACGCATACTTGTATGTTCTAATTACTCGTAGTGGATCTTTCAACACGTAACAAAGAGACAAATTTGTCCCCGTGACATCAAGAAAAGTCAGTCTTGTGCGCTGCACATTCCACTTCTTGATTTTAGGCCAGCGGATACTGCAAATTTTATGAATTTTATGGGTTTGTGTGCCACACATTCCTCTGACACTATCTTAAGTAGTTTCGTCCGCCGAGGCATGTCGACAAGTACAACGGTGAGATGGAGCCTAAGCCAGTGTCTTGAGGACTACCGACTTGCGATGAGAGTTGGAGAGGGTGGACGACAAACCTTTAGTGCTCCCTTGGAGATCAAGGAAGCTAGAGAGAACCCCAAACTTTGCATGCCCCGCCCTCCGGATAGGCGGAATAAGGACGATCAAGGGAACCCTTAGATCAGAACTCGACATACGCTCTCCTACTCCCTCTTCGATTGTAAGGGAGATGCTCCAGACACGTTTTAGTAAAGCGTGTCTATACTTTAGTAGAGATGAAATAAAACATATCTAACCTACAAATAACCTACAAATTTATTGGGGGCTTTCTTGTAGTGTAAGAACTCACTTGAGCATTCTCACAAGAAGAATTCTTTGCTGGACGTAGGGCTTTGTGCTTCGAACCAAGATAAATCTTCTTTGTGTCTTGAGTGTTAACCACCGAAGTCCCACACATCGACCACTAATGACTAGTTGTGGTTACGAATCCACGACAACTGGATTTACTGCATGTATTGGGGGTGCCTAGTAGCACTCCTCCGCTTGCCGATAATGACCACAAATTGGCCTCTTACTGATGAAATCGACACCTGCAACGGTAATCTCGTCGTGGCAAGCACCGAAGTCATCACAGCTAACAAGTTTTGAAATGAAAATCATTTGATTTCATGAGTAGATTTATTTTGAGTAAATCTTAAGCAATCAAGATTAAAAAATGGTGTAAAAGAGAGATTTGTCCCCTCTCCTTCTTGCCACCTCCCATCACTCACCAAAGAGGAAGGAGAGGGGCCTAGATGGAGACCGCGGTGGTGGCAACGTTCCATGGCGGCGACTCCTAATACAAATGCTTGCTAAGACTTGGGAGATAATGATTTCTATGTTTACCACAAAAATGGTTAGCAAATATTGTTGAACCTACGATATTTTTGAAAGATAATGGTTTCTTGGGCAGATCTAGGCTCAAAAGTTATTGATACCACCTTCACTAAACCATGGCAAATCTTCATTTATAAACATTATTTGGCAAAGCAAAACACAAAACATCATTGTTGTTATGTGACAGCATAAAAATGTGCAGGCTTCGTCCCTGAATAGTTGGATTGTTCTGAATGTCTGGAGATAATTTCATGTTCATGTTTATTTTTTTATGTCCCGTATTATCAATTATGTTTAGTTTATATTATTTATTTATAGCGAGTGACCATGTGTAAAAGGGGTTTCTTGTGTGTAGAGGGAGGAGAGAGACGGACGTTGTCGTTTGCGGAGAGAGATATGGGAGCACGCGTACAGCTAGAGAGCTCTTGCAGCTAAAGTATAATTCTTTGCATTGCCAAACAACTATTTTAAATTTGTTTCTAAGGAACATAGTTTATGGTTAGCCACACCACAAATTTGGATTTAAATAACTTTCTAGCCATTTCAAATATTTTTGAAATATAAAATGGAATGTGATTCATAGAATGATTTTCAAATCCACGAACAAACAAGACCTTGGAGGAAAGTTTAAACGATCCACCGAAGTCGAAGTTCTTTTGTCCAAAAGTACATTTGAACAAGAACAAACAAGACCTTTGAGCAAGTTTGACAATCTTCGCGTGCGTGTCAGTACTCCCCTCGGACCGACATTTCCAAACTCCACCAAACGATCCGTGTTCGGCCCACCAGCACCTTCCTCTTCCTTCTTCCCCAGCCGTGCGCTCTTCTCCACTTCCCCGGAGACAAAAGAGCCCCTCGATCTCCCGGGCCCCACCTCCCCGCCCCGCGCGCCTGCGACACGGAGAAGCTTCCGGTTCCCAGCCGGCCCGGCTCCGCCGACTCTTCCTTTCCCTCCGGCCGTCGAGGCGTCCAAGCGGATTAGCGGAGAGCGTCGGGGCGGCGAGATGTGGGTGTTCTACCTGATATCGCTGCCCCTGACGCTGGGCATGGTCGTCGTCACGCTCCGCTACTTCGCCGGCCCCGCCGTGCCGCGCTACGTTGTCGTCACCGTCGGATACGCATGGTTCTGCTCCCTCTCCATCATCATCCTCGTCCCCGCCGACATCTGGCAGGTCAGATCCCTTGCTGCATCCCTCCCCAACTTCTTCATCCACCGCCCCCGGTTCCGGCCATCGTCGGCCCCGGGCTCCGCCGGTTTGGCTGTCGGTGCTGTTAGATCCACCGGGTGCTCGTTTTGTGTTCTAGTTGTGTTGCAATTTTTGAGTGTATGCACGAATTGAATCACAAACTTCGTGTTGCGGGTGGAGCACGCTTTTGAATTGATGCTTATTGCTACGAATGAGGTCTGGGAAACTAGCTTCACGCCTGCTGTCCATTTATAGTGGCCACCAGTTCGTTGCATAGCTCTTACAAATGCAGTGGAAGCTTTGTCCCTGAGGCAAATTAATTGTTACCCTGGGGCTAGGAGTATTGCATATAATCTGCCTGACTGCAATTTACGTTTAGAGAACTCTGTTTCTACACTATTCGAGTCTTCATAACTGAATAACTGATTGCGGTTCAACCCTCTATAGTCCTGATGCTACCTCTTCGAAACATCTTCTTTTGTTTGTTATAGTTATGGAGTTAACCCAGTATTCTGTCAATTCAGAATTGTTTGGCTAATGAGAAACCCTAGCAGCTAACTTGGCCTACCTTAATGTATATCCTTACCATTTATCTTGTGTCATACAGATTTGAGCACAAGTCAATTGTTGATGTTCTTTTTAATCTTTCAAAGCCAACCTCCCTTCCCTTTCCAAAAAAGATACATGTATCCATTAAATCATATCGATAAATTTATTAGCGGTAATGAAATGACAAATTTTATTATCTACTGACTGGAAAATTCTCTTTTTATACTCCTTTGGTTCAAACCCTTTGATCATTTCTATTGCAGACATTAACTGGCAGTGCGAAGGGCGGCATTGGATTCTTTTGGAGCTGGTCCTATTGGAGCACATTTATCCTAACATGGTATGCTATGAACATGTCTTGCATAAGTTTCTCCCGATGGTTGAATTTCCCTGATTCTTAGTGTCATAAAAAAAACAAAGAAAAAACATCTGTTTTGATGACTTGGCACATCCATTTCCAGTTATAACCACGATTTTAGTACTATTTTCAAAATGTCCAATCTCTGCCTTCTATGCTGCTCCATCATTTGGGCATCAATGCAACTCTTTTGGCTTTATCCAAACTAGGTTGGTACTTGGGAAAACATTGGTTATACATTATATGGTCTGTAGAAGGAAAAAAATGCTGGAAAAATTCTCTCCCTGTTCATATAATACAACCAATATTAACTGCTAGATTTTGAGGGTATCTATTCTTATGCTGAATGTATCGTTGTAGCTTACTCATTTTCTAGTAGGGCAGCTCAGTGTGAACTTAGTTCTCTTGTACAATCATAGTTATGGTTTGCTTGGATCTTTAGTCGCAAATTTTATTGAATGGCTGGATTTACTAGTGTTTCTTCTGAAGTCTGAACATTTGCGTTGGTGTTGATATTTCTAAACAAGGCTTGTTTTTATTCTTCAAACAGGGCTGTAGTTCCTACTATCCAGGGCTATGAAGACGCAGGAGACTTCACTGTTAAAGAAAGGCTGAAAACTAGCATTCATATGAACCTGCTTTTTTATTCAATTGTGGGAGCCATTGGCCTTATTGGTCTCATACTACTCTTAATCATGCATAGAGCTTGGTATGTTCAATCTTTACTTGAGCAAAATTTCACACTACAACCTGATATCTGAACATAACCTTGCAGTGTCACTTTAATATTGTTCACCATTATGCTTTTGTCGAAGGGCAGGCCTGGTGCAGTGGTGAGAGCTGTCTCACTGAGTCACCAGGTCACGGGTTTGAAGCAGCCTCTCCGCATATTTTGCGGGGGAAGGCTTGCCTCGGTTTTTCCCTTCCCCAGACCCCACTCATGTGGGAGCCTCCGGCACTGGGTCTGCCCTTTTATTATGCTTTTGTCATTTTCATGGTATTGATGCTGCCAAGCTAATGGTGAACTGTTTTGCTGAAACATCTATATAAGTTTTGATAAAAAAGCAGTTCAAAACATTATGTTTAGTGCCTAGATATTCTGGGTTAATTTTTCCTAAGTTTCTGTTGAGTGCTCTTTGCCTCCTAGCCTACTCGACTAGTTTTTTGGCCTTGTGTTGTGTCTCATAGTCACAGGTCATGTTAGCTGTGGAAGGCTAGTTGCTCTGGTCTAGTGTTTCCCATGTGGAGGGGCGGTGTTCTTCTCCCTCCTTTGTACAGTTCCTCTTTTCTCTCTTAATGAAATGATGCACAATCTCTTGCGTGTTCCAGAAAAAAATGTTAGTGCCTAGATTAGTGTTGCACAGTCACTTTTGGTTCTTGAGATGAATAAAATATAATCAGTGGTACTGCCAAAGTACTGCTTTCATTCCCAAAGAATGATGCTTTGCTTTCATCCCCAATGAGTATATTTCTTCTGAAACTAGCTGTCCTTTATACAAGTATCTAGTAGGGTGTTTGACCTAAAATAACTTTTCTTGACAGGGATGGTGGTATTGTGGGATTTGCAATGGCATGCTCAAATACCTTTGGATTGGTGACTGGTGCTTTTCTTCTTGGGTTTGGGTTAAGCGAAATTCCAAGAAACATTTGGAAAAACGCAGACTGGTCTCACCGCCAAAAAGTACTTTCTCATAGAGTTGCCCAAATGGCTGTAAAGCTTGATAATGCCCATCAAGAATATTCAAATGCAATTGTTGTATGTATATTTCATAAATTTTTAAGCAATACGTAACATTGCAGTTTCTTCATGTTTCTGAAGTGTCAGTCAATTTCCAGGTTGCTCAAGCTACATCAAATCAAATGTCAAAACGTGACATTTTGAGGCCTTACATGGATATTATTGATAACATGCTGTCTCAAATGGTACTGCTGTAATCTGCTAGCGTGTTAAATTTGAATATTGCTTATTATATATGCAAAATATCTTATTATTTTTGTCTCTCGCAGCTGCGGGAGGATCCATCTTTTAAACCTTCTGGTGGTAGATTAGGTGAAAATGATATGGACTATGATACTGATGACAAATCGATGGCCACACTTCGGCGCCAACTCAGGAGGGCTCATGAGGAGTACTATAGGTGCAAAAGGTATTATAGAATAAGCCATTGTATATATTTCATTTAGTAATAATGTGGGGTTGTGGACTGTCAAATATGACACATGCAGGTTTGTGAAAAGCTAGTAAGCAGTAAATACTAGAGTATAGAACAGATAATAACATTAAAAGTGTGACTGGTGCTGCCCTATTTAACCACTAAGTTTGGGTGCTGTCATTGTGCAGTGAGTATATGACTTGTGTCATGGAAGCCCTCAAACTAGAAGACACGATAAAAAATTATGAAAGCCGTGATGCTAATGGATGGTGAGTTTATTGATCTTATATTTGCAGTGTAATCTCATTGCTTTAAAAATATTGTTTGCAAGTAGCATTTCAATCTTATAGGAATATTATTTTGTCCCATTTGATTATATTTACATGATGATACCTTTTGGGAGTTGTTTTTTCCTTTTGTATCTTAGTGCTGCATCTGTCAAACAAATTATGCCAAGTGATATATGATCATCATGAGGGAAGATTTAATGTGTAAATTAGTAAATTACAAAAAAGAACCTGTACTCTTAACAGTTCTACAAAAGTTTTATACTGCAAGCAATACTGCTAACCAAGAATACTTGAATGTTGGCGAATTGTCCAATTGCTATTGATGCTTGTGCTTGTCAACCTGAGGAACTTTACAGACATCAATTCTATTCTTAGTAACTGCTTGGAAAACTCTAAGCAATATGTACTGCAAACAAGTTGTGCTCATCCAGGATTCTCTGATAGACAAACCAATATTAGTATTGATCTACTTTTTTTTAACAGGAAATATGTATCAAGTTTTAGAGAAAGTCGTTCGGGCACACTTGGATCAATTTTGGACACTATTGGTATTCTTCTTACCTTCACTGCAGTTTTTTTTGGTTTTCATAATTCCTTACAACAAGCGTCTCAGTTAGATTAGATTCTTACTTTCTTGGTAAATTTGTTACATGTGGTTAACATTTGATGGAGCTGACTTAAGGATACTTTGTTGCATTTCCAGAGTTCATTTGGCGCTGTATACTGAGAAAGCAGCTTCAAAAAGCATTTGCTGTTATCCTTGGCTGTATGTCAGCTGCTATACTGTTGGCTGAAGCTACTTTACTTCCAAGTGGTGTTGATCTATCTCTCTTTTCTATTCTTATAAAAGCTGTAGGAAAGCAAGAGGTTTTAGTTCAGGTAAGGAACTGAACACTTTATTTTAAAACTTACAAGTGATTTTCTACCTCCCCATTTTACCAAAAAGTTTTGTTAATTGTGAGGCTGACTACCCTCTGCAATACTATCTTGTCTCTCTGCAATACTTACTATCTTGTCTTAGTGATGACATTAGATAATTTATTTGCATAGGACACAACAATCATGTTCATCTGTCACCTACTGATTAGTTAAATTTCAAACAAACACATGTACGCTTTATATATGTGAGTATAGTTACTAGGCGACACTTGGAGCATGTGAAATGAGTGACATCCTTTAACTCCTTTTCACTATTGCCATTGGGGAAAAGTCACTCTTTTGTTTAACTCTGTTATAACTTCATAATTTTCAGTTTTTTTGGTCATCTTTATGAACTTATGTTTGTTCACAGGTTGCTGCTTTTGTCCCCTTGATGTATATGTGCGTTTGCACATATTATTCATTATTCAAGATTGGTATGTTGATGTTCTATTCTCTGACTCCAAGACAAACCAGCTCTGTCAGCTTGCTTATGATCTGTTCGTAAGTTTCAATCCTTAGTTTTTATGCTTGTGTGTTTCTATTCCAAAGCCACTCGGGTCATTTTAGTTATTCACCAAAATTTGTTTTCCAGAATGGTTGCAAGATATGCACCTCCTATTTCTTATAACTTTCTGAATCTCATCCGCCTTGGTGGCAATGCTAAAACTACATTTGAGAAGGTAATAGTTGTGTTTTATTGCTCTTCTTCATTGTTTGTGGTATATCTATATCAATTCTGTACATGAGCATGCCTTATTACTTGTCACCTGGAAGGGAATGTTTTTTGGCTTCTCTCTTCCATTTATTTATTATGTTTTCTGTTTACCAAATAGAAAATTCATTCCTAATCGCTGACAAATTATCTGTTTCAGAGAATGGGGAACATTGATGATGCAGTCCCTTTCTTTGGCAGAGGCTTCAACAGGATCTACCCACTGATTATGGTTGTTTATACGCTATTGGTTGCTAGTAATTTCTTTGGCCGTGTGATTGACTTTTTGGGAAGCTGGAAAAGGTTCAAGTTCCAACGTGAAGAAGAGAATATAGATGGTTTAGATCCCTCTGGAATGATTATTCTACAAAAAGGTAAGGGCTCCACAGATGTTGCATGTGGAGAAGTGGAGTTATTTTATTTCTTAAGTTTCCTGAAGGCTGAAGGACTTGTTTCATACTTCCATTGTTTTCCTTTGTTAGTGAAAGGCAAATCAGGATCCTGAACTATGATTATCGATGATTTTCCTAGCTTTTACTGGGAATGAATATTTGTGTAACTACTGTTGAATTGTTGCTGCAAAGACTGGCATTTAGTTCTTCTGAAAGCATGATTTGCTTTAATAATTGAATGTTTTTTTTCTTTCTTTTTGTCCAGAGAGATCTTGGCTTGAACAAGGGTGCAAAGTGGGCGAGCAAGTTATTCCATTGGCAAGGAATTTCAATGGCGTGAACACAGATATTGAATCACAAAATGTGCCATTGGTGCGTAGAATCGTTCCTTAGTTTACATAGGAGATTCAACTATCAGTATGTTTTAGTCTAGGGATAGTTTAGTGGGTGACATGGATTGGTATCTTCTTTAGCCTTCGGTCATTTCCAGCTGAATTTTAGCTTATTTTTGTTACTTAGTACCTACTGGTTTCTGTTTCCATTCGACTACTGTGTTGCAGGTTGAAAACACGGTGGAGATGAAAGTAGGGGCAACCTCTTCCAGAAATGACGGGAGAGCCGGTCAGCTGAAATATGCAAACAACAGGGAGACTATCGCCAGCAAATACACTTCTATCAGAGAACAGAACCGGCAGTCAGGGAAGGCAGTGAGAAAGGAAATTTCACCAAACTCTGTATCTTTGCTTGAAGAAAGAAATTCTGAGCAGCGGTCCAATGTGGGTGTACCACCAACTGGTGTGTCCGCAACATGGGCCTCGATGAAGATTGGTTTTCAAAATTTCAAAGCAAATATGGGTTCGAAGAAGTTTCTTCCTTTGCGCCAAGATCCAGGATTTGTTCTGAATTCGAATGTCTCTTCACCTGAATCTCTTGATGACATATTCCAAAGGTTGAAACAGCGGCCTGCAAATGTGCCTGTGGATTACCTTGGCGATGACGATGATGACAACACAGGAGATGTGGATCTGCATTTCCAGGATCAATGAAATAGGTTGTGATATTCTTTTAGGTTTAGAATATGCATACACAGAAAAACAAAAAGAATTGGTAGCGTTAGATGCTCGAAGGAAGATATAGGATGTATAGATCTGATGATGGTTTGGTGTGCTTCCTGGAAGCTCAAGACGCCTGCCCATCTGGAAAACTACAAAATGGAAGTACGATATGATGACAGCCTTTGCAGAAAGGCTTGAAATTTTCCCACCAAGGAGGTTTTGGACTTCTCTACTTCACACTACTACATGCAGGTAACATTGTTGACTTGCTGATTCTCAGATTCTCATCTTTTTTGAATCTGTATTGGAGATGCTGATATGTGATCGAAGCCAAAGAATGTAAATGTGTAGTACCTACGATTCCATGTGAAGGTTAACATGCCTGAGTTGTAACCAGTAAAAACGTAATATCAAATATATACTTGATCGGGAGAATATACCCCCCAAGTGTTTATGTGTGACAGACGTCAGATTTGTATTTGATGGTATAACTTGTGGACACTTCTTTGTCTGCTGCTTGACCTAAAAAATGCCCATTTGTACTGCATTAACTGGGTCTCTTTTGTTGGGTACACGTGTTACAGTAGTAGGTACGATCAGAGGTACAACACGAATTAGTAAAAATCACTGCCAGCTGGCATGAACATATTATAAATAGGATTTCATAGTAATAAAGAATTGGGGATGATGTAACATAGAGAAGACACGTCCCTTACATAAGCCTAATAGATTAATCACCTGATAAAGAAATAGATAAGTCTATTTTATTACCTTGAATAATTCACTTTGTTCGCTTAGTGTTGGCTCGACTATCCCAATCTATTTTGATATACAGGCCATTCACATCAGCAGCAGCTCACTAGCGCATGCAATTATGATACAATTTATTCATGCAAGTTATCAATGTCCGCAAGCCACACTATCTATTGCCATGCATTTATGTGTTTATGTTAGCGTAGCACACTATCCACCACATTTATTCATGATTCCCGCAACAAACGTAAAAGATATGCTTCTAGTTATATTAAATGAGAGAATTTTTTTTTTGCGATTGCACGGTACAACTCAAACATTCACAACACAAGCACACTCAGCCCTGTGAACACACACATGCAAACTCTACGCCTATGAGCATCTTCAAAGACATGCCCGACAAATCATCGAGATTGACGAAGTCACCACAAGCGCATCGTTGAACGTTGCCTACCACTGAAAGCATAAACGTCATTAAATCCTGGAATTTTCGCTCCCACGGGGAGTCGAACCCAGGACCTGATGTGCTACTGAGGCTCTTGTAACCACTGGCCTACATACAATTATACCCTTGTTTATATATACCTCTCGTCTAAGGTGCAAATACCCTTGCGGATTTACTCTAGAACACTAACATTATTCACCTCCAATGCATGTCCTCGACTATTGCTCCGTCAGAGCATTGCCCTCCAATCATCTGCAATGATAGGCTCTGAGCATTGAAAATGCAACATGATCCAATGCCATGGGAAGTTCCTAAGACACATCGGACACATTGAAAGAGTATCGGATGACTTGTTGTCGAAGATGATTAAGGAACCACCAATCTGGAACAACAAATACTTGCCATACTAAGAATCCATCGAGCAAGTGACACAAACATGCAAACGGGGAACACAATCCTCCGCACCAATCACATCCACCTTGCAAAAACCAAAACGACATGAAGCATGCCAAGCTGAAAGCCTAGATAGGCATTCACATTGGAATTGTCTGCAAGAAACAAGATCCAACATGGAATCGATGAAGGCGATAACCTCCAGTAGCCCATAGGGCATAACTTATTCAATCTAAACCCTAACTGCTATGACAAGATTGGACATTGACCTCACAACCAGCGAGGTTGTCGCATGGGGAGGAGGGGGACCAAGGGTGGTAGTGCAGGAGGGCCTAGGGTGACAGTCATAGATAAGGAGGAGATGACGCCGGTAGAACAAGATTAGTTGTAAGGATTGAATGGCCAGGGGGTTTGAATTGAGATCTAAAATACGTAAAACAACAATCTTAGGTATGCGAACTCTAAACATCCAAAGCACCTTGGCACCTAAGTTTTTGACAAAAACATACTATGAAGTCCTTAGGGCCACCATCCTACACAAGTCCTTAGCAAGATAAGTAGAGGAACATGTTAACCAAGTCTATTATGAACTTCACACACTTTTTTATACAATCTATGAGATAGACTACTAAAGTGGAGCTCATGATTACACTAAGATAGCACACTTGCTAAACAATCCTAGTCACACAAGAGAACTTGCACACAAAAAGCTAGAGCAAGAAGTAATGTAAGAAACCTAAAGAGGCAACATAATTTTCCCCATGGTCTCGGGTTATTGCCACAACCCCCTACTCCACGTTGGATCACCTAAGTCACAAGTACTTGATTAATCTCCTCTCCACTAGTGAATATCCGTTTGCCACTTTGGAATGGTGAAGAGGCTCATAGCCATTGGAAAAAGTTGACAGACGCAGACATTACCGGATGATCCGCCAACCTCTAGCTATGCCAGATCATATAGTGGCGTTGTGCTAGCTGGTAGCTAGTTGGAAATTTACTGAAATATTTCCGCCATATCCACATGTTCTCGCGTCAACTCTTTCAAGTTGGACGCCTTGGCCCCCCTTAATAGCACGATCAAAGGAAAAACAAAACCCTAATACAGACTACTAGCAAATATCCCCATGCACGCAGGCTACACTCATTCTCAAGTGTCCTTAGTCTTATCAATCATCCTTTGCACCATAAGTCAGATCGATCACCAAGTCTTGGGATCAAGACACTTGTGGCCATTTACATTGCAACTAACTCAACTGCATTAACCTATGCAAAACATACGTTAGTCTCATTAATCACTAAAACCCCATAAACACTACATTGGGGTCTAGATGTGTCTGTAGTCTTGTTGCTCCCATAGCTGGAGGAAGACATCATGCACTCATACACTTTGTGTAGTGACAAACTAATCGTTCACTTCCTTAGATCAGAAATAAAAGTCTACTACAACATTGGCACAATGCACACGGTTTAGATACTATGAACTTCTTTTATTATAAATCTAGTAATGTTGATATGATATTGTCGATCCATAAAAAGTTTTAGATATCTATAATCTACAATAAAAGCGTTTGATTTAGAATAAATCTAGATGATTTATATTTCTGATGACTTTACGAATGAAGTATAGTTGGCTTGATTTATTCTCTCAAACCATTTTAGTTGGATTGTCTTATCTGTCTTGAGGTACATCGTTAAAGTATGGTGACAAACTAAACATTGAATAGTAGTTCTAGGGCTCTGTTTGGATTGACTAAAATAAGTTCCTAGCTACTAAAAAAAGTTTTAGCTTATCAAAAAGTCCACCTTATAGTCTATTTTGAATTGTTCGACCATCCAACTTACAAAAATCTAATTATAGGTTCCCTCCAGCTATTACAACTTATAAAAAGTTGTGCTGATTTAAACAGGGCCTGTTTTTTTAGTGACAGAGTATATAATGATTTATGCTAAAAACACATCAATTTTGATTAGGTTAGAAGCTCGCAATCTTATATTAACCATAGAGATCCAATATTTATACGAAAATAGTGATTAAAAAAATCTTATTGTATCTTGTACATAGTGTTCCATGTTCTCTATCCTACAAATTGTGTTAGGTCGACTTGTAAGTGGAGAGAAAAAAAAGACTAATCTAAATATGGGTATGTTTTATCACGTGAAACAATTTTGGGAGTAAATTGAGATGAAATTTTGTTCACATACAAAATGGATTAGAAACTTCGATAATAACTTAAACTTTTTTCAAAGAAATAATACTAGAATCCAGATTTATCCTGTTGCCTAAGAAAAGACACGTTTGAAAAAAAGGTGCGAAATGCTTATCTTTTTTTTCGAACTTCGATAGACCCTAAAACTCTAGTGGTTAGTAATTTTTAGGGTGTAACTGCGCATTCTTATTTATGCCTAAATTGTATTCTAGGCTAGTAGCATAAAGAGGAATGGGTCGTCAGGTCGTGCCTTGTTGATCTCTTCAAGTTTCTACTGAATCAAAGCAAAAGTCGGCGACTCAGCTTGAACAATTCAAGTCAACAGAGGGGACGCCGATATGCCACGTATGTATACAGCTCGTGTAGCGGCATAGGTATAGCTAGATTAACAAAAAAAAAATGGCATTACTTGATGAGTTGATGTTAAAACCAATCAAAGAATATCGATCAATGGATCAAAGTACAAGTTCTTTGCTTTAGATCTGTACAAAGCATGAATTCTGGATAGCCTAGCTGCATGCCTCTTCGATACCTAGCTAGGCGAAAGCCATCAACAAAATGCACCAAAAGAACAAAAAAAATTGTTCGCAAAACACTAGAAATAAGTCATCGACGAAACCAGAACAACACAGCGAGGAGCGGGCTGCCTGCGTGCATGGCCAGACGAGATGTCCCGATCAGAATTCAGAAGAGGACCCACTTGGCCGCGGCGGCCCTCTCCTCGAGCGTCTTGCCGCGCGCGGCCATCGAGCACCCTTGGTCCTTCTTCCCTCCTCCCCGCGTCGCGTGCAGCAGCTTGGCCCAGAAGCTCGTGGCCGTGGTCCTCCTCCTCTGCTCCCTCCTCGCCCGGAGGAACGCCGCCACGGCGTCGGCGTCCCCGACGACCCGCTCGTGCCGCATCAGCAGCGACACCCGCGCCGCGCGCCTCATCTCGTCGTGGAACGCCGGCTCGTCGTCGCCCGGGCTGGCGCACTCGGACGACGCGGCGCTGGAGCCCTCCGAGGAGTAGGCCGTGGACGCCTCCGAGCAGCAGGAGGACGCCTCCTCGTCGTGGTATCTGCTGTACCCCTCCGCCTCCTCGCCGCGCACGACGGAGGGCAGCGACGCCGAGAGGGACAGGTGGGACAGGCGGTCCCGCAGGCAGGACGCGCAGACGCCCGCCCCCTGCTGCCGGTGCCGCCGGCACCGCGCGC